CTCGACTTCTCCAGGAGGTCTGAGCGAGAAGGTTAAGGACTGACCACCAAATCAAAAAAGTGAGAACAATTCCAGAATGGCCCACGACTGACAGGGGCCCTAAACAATATGAAATTAAGAGAAGACTTTGTTCACAGTGTCCTCATAATGATAACTTTCCTTTTTCTTTCTTTGGCCCAATTAGATATCTCTTCATGGGGCCCAGAGTTCCTGGCGGCGCCCCTGGATGGCCATGTGGTAGGGAAGGGAAGATACAGAAGCTCTACTTGTGGTTGTGGTGGCCGGTGGGAGCTAGCATGAATAACACACATAAAACTGAAAAAGAACAATAAAAAGGTTCTTTCTGTAAAGCTTAGTGCGACGCTTCTCTGTTGAGTTAAAGGCCTCGCTGTGGTTCAGCAGCTTCTCTCAGCTCTTTAAACTTTCAAAACAGGCTGCACTGTTTTTTTAAGTGTTTGAAACAATCCATGTCTCAGTAAAGTGGATACAAGTTTCAATGTTGGCCCCGACGATGTATCCAGCGACGTCAAAGTTGACTCTGATGAACTTCCCCTGTAGAAAACAAAATACTTTCAATTAAAAAAACATGTTGAAACTTCAGGCTTATAACTAGAACATGTCCATGTCTCTGCAGAAAAATGCTGACAAGCTGAAATGAAAAGGCAAAAATGAAGGAAAAATGATTTGAAACAATGGCGGTGATACAGAGGTCGAGTGACAACTTGATATTTGGACAGACGTGATAATTGTCATGTGTCCGAACAAAACAACTTAAAAAACCACAAAGTCAGTGGAGTTGCAGTCATGTTCTCCGAGTCTTTTTGTTATTGTGAGACCGCGCTGTTGTGGCAGGCCGTCAACCAACGATCTTGAGGAGCCTAAGAAAGCTCAAGAGCTACCAGGAAAGTAGGTTTGTAGTAGTAGTGTTCCTGCAAACACTTAGTGGACACACGCACAGACGTCGAGAACAGTGTGACTATATTAGGAAGAAGTCAGGTTAACAGAAAGAATCCCGAGGTATTTCTGTGGTTTCCTGAAAGTGTGCATGCCCATCTGTCTGCTGGTCATCATGGCTTCTCGTCCGAGCCAGCTGGTGATTCATGAGGTCTGAACGCTGGCCGGTGGTTACGTTGGCCGTGTGCTTTACTGACTCATACAGAAATGTATCAGCGCTTGGACAGAGAAATGAACATCTTATCCGTTTAATCCAACAGAAATATGAACAGAAATAACACGCTGTGGTTTGATGGTGAGAGGGTTAAAGTGACAGAGTGAGTCCTGGCGGTGGGAGCAGGTGCTGAGAGGTAGACTTTGTTGAGTTCAGATAAAGAGAAGCCAAGTATGTGGAAATTGTTGGTAAAGTTTGTTGTTTTTTTCACAATGCATGAGTGCAATCAAGAATACACGGGTGTACTCACAAAGCGAGACGAGTTGTCATTCTTCACCGTCTTTGCGTTGCCAAAAGACTCGAGGATCGGGTTGGCTTGCAGGAGCTGGCGTTCCAACTCGCCCTGAGGAGGGAGAGAGAGAGAGAGAGAGAGAGAGAGAGAGAGACAGGTGAGAAGAGAGAGAGAGACAGGTGATAGGTCAGGTAGCCATCACACATTTCTAAGAACATGAATCTTTTATCACTTTTCATCACATTTTTCTACATGCACAAGAAGCGGAGACAAAAGCTGACTCTTTATGGAGCGCCTTTCAAGAGACCAGAGGACGCGTTACATGTGGGAAGGGAGCAGACAAAGAACTAAACTGAGACAGGTAGCAGAGGACGGGAGAGCGAGGGAGAGGCAGGCTGTGGAGAAGAAGTTAGATGTAGTGATGGATTTGATGTGGGAGTGGAGTGAGAGGGTTGAGTCCCCTAACCCCACGCCCGGGTTTAACCGATCGTTAGACATTCTGTGGCCTTTCATTTAGCCAACAGCAGCAGAGTGTGATTTTTTTCAGGGGAACTCAACATGTGTGACGTGCCAAGACAACCAAATACTCCGCAGGACTCGTGAAACCACAGAGGCAACATGGCAAGTGTTTCGACACATGCCATACAGTAAGTGGTTACTGGAGAGGCTCTTCCTGCACATTCCTTTAGCTGTGATGATTTACTGTATATATACACATCCAAAGACCAGACCACCACCATCACGGTAATGATGGCTTCCTCCCAAATGTAAAAAAAAACCTAGACTGAGAGGTGGTTGGGACATTCCCTACAGACCCTGAAACCTCCAACTCCTCAAAACAGGCCTCAGCCTCGTCTCTGCAGGGCAGAAATAGCTCCTAACGCAGATCTGGTCTTTTTTACTCCAGACAGCCGGTAATGGCCGCTCAAAGAATCGTGGGACTATCTCCGGCTCGACTTTAGGGTGCTGCAAGAAAAGAGAGAGAGGGACAGAAAGAGGGTTGTAGAAGACGCATCAAGAAAAGAAGAACTGTCCTTTCTATCAATGCTTACGCTATCAATACCAAGACCTAGACACCCATGATTGGGTCATTTCTTGTTTTTGATGATCAAAAATGCAGACAAACTCGTGCACGCCCTCTAAATTAATAACAGCGGTTGTGTCGTTTCAAAACAAGTGATATTGGAAAGTATTGGATATTTTGGTAACCTTAAAGCTGCATTCTTGGTGCGTATAAGTCGCACCAGTATACAAGACGCAGCCTTCTTTTTAGACACAAAAAAGGGTATTAAAAGTGCGTCTCATACAGCAGATATGACGTCATGTTTTGGCTTTTCTGGATATCTGATGTATCTGTTCAGTCTTCAGCTGTCTGAATGTGATGATTCCTGAATGAAAGCCGGCTCCAGTGAAATCAGCCGTAGTGACAGAAGTTATTCCCTTTTATCTTAAAGGCTTTATAAAACATTGAATAAGAAGGAACCAGTGAATACATCCTAAAGAATAAACATGTGTTCCTGTACGTCTCTCTGGTCTGGTTTACCTCCAATCCACTTCTTTATCTCCCCCCTCTCCCCTCTCCCCTCTCTCCTACCACATCGTTCCTCCCCTCTGCTCCCTGGTTCTACATTCCTCTGGCCTGCGCTCAGAGGCCGCCGTAATGCAGCGCAGGAGGAACGCAGCTTTAGGGAGCTCAGTGTGAATGGAATGGGAGCAGAGCGGCCCTGAATCACAGCGGCTCACTCTCTGCTACTGAAACGCAGGTGTGCATCGGTGCTGTTCGTGCTCAGGTCTGCAGGTTAAAAGGTTTCACCTGCGCCTTTGCGTTTATTAGATTTACAGAGGATGCAGGAACATCGGGTTTTAGTTTGGAGGAGGGAAAAACAGACACTGGATGAATCCCGCAGAGAAAGAGTGAGCCCCAGAAGTTGGGCTGAATTCAGTTCAGTCGTATTTGTGTCACTTCAGGGACAAAATATTGAGGTGTCATCACCTACAAACATCACCTGAGATTGGTTTTTCACAGAGTCGGTATCTGAAATAATGAAATCACATCGAAGCAGACAGAACAGGTCGATGAAATACAGGCTCTTCAAACTACAAGCATGCATCTACAGGACATAACCAATGGAAAACATGCACAAGCACATGAAAGACTTACACCTGGATATGTGGCATGAAGTATTTACTTAGAGGTGGAGAAGACATCGAACATCAGAGGTGATTAGAGAAGTTTTGTTTTGTGCGGCTGTGGACTGATTTTCACATATTTGGAGAGAGAGAGACATGCAGAGAGGAGGTTGGACCAGAACCTGGCCGCCCACCTGAAGGACTTCAGCCTTTGTGCATGGGGTGTGACCCAACCACATCACTTCAATAAAATAACAAAAAGTCCTATGCAGCTTTTTTGTACACAGAGTTGTTTGATGATGAATTAGCACTAAATGTCGACCGTTTTATGGACAGGTTAGACCTCCATCCATCTTCAATCTGTTAAAACTAACTGAAGAGTTTAAAGTTTGATGATCCTACTGATGTAAAGGCAGATTCACTGAGCTTCAGATAATCATGTGAGAGGACCGAGCCGGCACAAACAGAGAGCTAAACGCTGAGATGAAACCGTCAGCAGCACAGGATCAAACGGCGGAGCATGCATCACACGCTAACACACACACACACACACACACACACACACACACACACACACACACACACACACACACACACACACACACACACACACACACACACACACACACACACACACACACACACACACACACACACACGTTTAGAGGAAGCTGAAGATGCACTTGCCTGTAGCTTGAATGCTTTGGGAGATTCGGGCTGCTTGTTATGGATAAAGAGAGGTGAGTGTTAAAACCTGAAGCGCTTATGTCAACAGCACTTATAAAGCAACATGTGGAGGAAAAGCTCTGATGATATGAAGCGAGAGCAGAGACCAGTCAGCCTACAATCTAATGTTTCAGTGAGGATTAATACACAATTTTATCACTACACTATCATCTTTAACTAGAACACAACAAAGGAGTGGAGGGACAGCACACTTATTTACTATATACAGGATTTTAGTTAACAAATACCAAGACTGGTTCTAAGAGGATGCATCTGATTGGACAGGAGAAGGAAACATGTAGGCAGTGGAGGATCTCACAGGAATGTTATGGTCTTTGCGTCCTTTGTGTGAGGAGGCGACATGGGCCAGGTACTGGATCACTTTCTTCGTGTTCTCCGTCTTTCCTGCACCCGATTCACCCCTGAAAAAACAAACAGAGAGCACAGTGTGGATATACACATGGACGTGGAGAGACGGCGGGAGGAAAGGTCTGAGTAACTTCATGAACGAGTGAGAGATAGAAGCTCTAGGTTTATAATCTGTAGTCCTCCGCTTCTTTACATTGACTTTATTTCATTTTTGCGTAACTTAAAGGACTTAAAGGATGAATGTGCCACTTTTTGATCCAGATGTCGCCCTTGAGCACCAGCATGAAACCAAAACAAACTGCTGTTTGGCCACACCTCGTCCATCCTGAAGCCTCCGCTCTCCTCCAGCTCCAGAATAACATCAGCGCTGTAATCTCGGAGCAGAAAGATGTCTGTCTCAAAGTTTCCGTCACTTGAATTATAAAAGTATCTACAGCAGCCTTCGCCTGCCATCATGAATTGCAGGGTTTTGGTTGTGAGGTAATGCCACGCTGTAGGAAATGATCTGTGCACGTTTTCCACATTGAAGTGAGGTGCAGAGAGAACGCTGTGACATCTAACCAAAGTCACTCTCACTCTCTATCATGGCGGTGAAGTTGAATTGGTTTAAACTCCAGGAAGAGTAAACAAAGGAAGCGGTAAACACAGAGAAAGTGGAGGACAGTCAGGCTATTTGTTGTTGTGTTCTGAGTCCATGAGTTTGTGTGTTTTTACTGGAGAGCTCTGAGGTTTGGTGGGAACGTTTTCCAACTCCAACGTTTCCTGGCTCTGCTTTTTGCTCCGTCTGTAATGATAGCTGTGTTCAGGCAGGGCTGTCCGCAGCGTCCCACAGTCAGGACCCAGAGAGACCAGCACAGAAACCAGGCCAGAAACTCCACATCCACACACACACACACACACACACACACACACACACACACACACACACACACACACACACACACACACACACACACACACACATACCGGTGGCTTTAGTGAAGCCGCTCATTAGCTCTGCTGCTCTTAGAGTTGGAGTTGGATGGGCGAGTCCTTGAACACAGGATGCAGCGAAAGCATCGCAGATCAAGTTAAAAACAGCACAGTTTGGCTCGCTATCTTTACCGATTTAGAGGAGAAATATTTCTCAAGGATTTTACTAAATGACATGATGTGAACATGAAGGGAAACCAGGACCGGTCCGTCTGTGTTTCCTGCCTCACATCTTCCGGTCTCTGACGTCGACGACTCGTAAGTGAGAAATTCTACAAGTTCTTACGGGTCGCTCCCAGTCAGAGAGTATTTCTAACAGCTGACTGCAGGATCATTAAGTTCATCCAATGTTTGATCATAAATACAAGCATCATGCAATCCAGGAATACAATTAAACAGCAGGAAATATAATTTTAACAGGTCATTTTAAATACGCTCGCAGTGCTTAATCATGGTGCGTTCATATTTGATAACTCCTTTGTGCAAACGCGAGGGAAGGGGGGTTGGAGGTGTGCCGCTGCAGGAGAGCGGAGGATTCAGTACAGAGGAGGTGTCACTAAAAAAGCAGTTTGGTTTGGTTTCATGCTGGTGGACTATAGCCTCTGTACAAGGGCCGTGCAAACTAACCACTAGGCCACTGGCGCCCCAAGGTACAGCTTTTTAAAGGTTTGCAATATTTTGACTGATGTGAATACCTTCAGTGCCCATCGCCTGTAATCACTGAGTGTTATTCTCTGTTGTTGATATTGAAATAAGTTCAGACGTCCTTAGAGTGAAGAAGTTTCCTCTTACTTCTCTAACACAAGAGGACACTTTGCTGAAATGTCACCAACAGAGGGGGTCGTTGTCAGGATTTAGGTCAGACTAAGGAGCAGCTCTGTGTGTGTTTGTTGGCAGCGTCTGCTTCAGCCACACTGAGAGAGTGTGCCACTTAATTACTGTGGACCACCGAGGATAAAAGCAGGGCACCAAACTGCACTCATAACTTCCTCAGTAATAGTTTGAGCTGCTGCAAAACCAGGCATCTGCAAAGATCTACCCGAGACGGGTCTTTAAATAAAACACAGCGGGATGATGGGAGCCAGCTGAGTCAGGACGAAGATTGAAATGTAAGGAGAGGAACAGAAAGAAGCTAATTCAGAAGCTCTGATCTGTATAAGGAGCTCTCATCATATTTTATGTACAACTGCAGTGATTCTGCAAGTTACATTTTAAACTTTCAAGGACAAGAAGAGAGACCCTGACCATATAAAAGATAACCCTGTTAAAGGAAAGCTCTCTAATCATCATCTTAAGACAGTTTCATTTTACAGAGGAGAGGAGAGGAGAGGAGAGGAGTAGAGAGGAGAGGAGAGGAGAGGAGAGGAGAGGAGAGGAGGGAGGGGAGGGGAGGGAGAGGAGAGGAGAGGAGAGGAGAGGAGAGGAGAGGAGGATAAATAGTGGGTTCAAAGTTGCAGTACTTACGTGCAAAGGATTGATTGGTCCTCTCGATCTGTTCAGAGAAACAGAAAAGGAAAACACAGTCAGCATGTTTCAATCCTCTCTCTCTGGATTTATTCTTTTTACAACTTGTGTAATTATGCGTGGTCGAACTGTTGGACAATAAAACTCTGAAATACAAACAGAACCAGTTCAGCATCAAAATGCAAACACAGGTAACTGGGTAAGACTGATGGATTTAGGTCAGACTCGAACCCGGGCCCCCACGAGTTTGATGAAAAAGTTCAAAAGACCCCCCCATGTTAAACTAAGTAATCCTTCCTTTTCCAGTCTCTAAACACATCCTCCTCATGCCGACCGTCATTTGTCTCTGACGATCTTGAGGCAGGAAACCGGGAGATTTTTCATTTCCTGAGACGGACAAATTTGAGAACACCTCCACATTCCTGCACCCAATAAAACAGAGAGGAGAGGGGCCCACCGTGTGTGTGTTCACGTCTCACACACGCCTCACACTACACACAGCTGCACTGGGAGAAGAGTCTGGATTACACTGAACGTGTGTATATGAATATTGCAATGAATATTGTGAAATGTTTTCTCTTTGTCCCCCTGAGTAGTCGTCCCAAACTCTTTTCCTGTTGTGTTTAAAAAGAGCCAACGAACGAACTGACCACCTACAGAGGATAGCCTGCTTACTCTCATTTAAGAAATCGGAGCAACTTTCTTTTTGTCTTATTGTTGTTTTCTTTGCTGATGTTTGGTCAAAAGAGATCTAAAGGATAAAAAAAGAGGCATTAGCAAAAATGAATGACGTGCTACAATCCTCTGATTGTTCATATTTGGGAAGTCAACCAAAAGGATGAAGGGATGAGCTTTAAAGCTTTGGACACATTTGACTCCTTGAACTGGTCATTTCGCACCTCGTTGATGTGGGTCAGGCGCTCTTTAAGGTGTCAACTCTCAGCTATTAAATGACCTTTTGTTCTGTCACCAGAGTGTGAACTTCCCTCAGATGACAAAAACTGGTGACCATGAGTTTAGCTGAAGGTGTCTTATCTTAAAGAGCTCATAGTTTCTTTATGACCCCCCCAGAATGCAGGCCTGCTTGCTTCCATTTCCTCGCTGGGAGAAAAGGACTCACCCCGGCAGAACTACACATATGGTGATGACATATGTAGAAGAGGTAAACGTGTTCAGGTCCTGTTAGTCCTGAAGCAGTGAGTGCAGGCCAGCGGGGGAATCGGGAGGCAGGGCAATCGTGCTTAAGCAGGGTTGGAGGCAACTGGGCCTAGTGTGAGTTCCCTCTTAGGGATACATCTTGACAACCTTTCCGTCTAAATGTTTTTTCTCTCCAGTGAAAAATCAGTTTTTCTCATCAAGATAAGGATCGATGCAAATGAAATGCAGAACCAGGAAACACAAATATGCACATATTAAATAAATCTTGTGTTGGATCAGAGTTCCTGGAACATCAGAAATGATGAATGTGCAGCTCTTCTAAACCGGCTCCTTCTCCTCGGAGGTTGAGGCAAACCTCAGAAACGCAGATCTCAGTCTGACGACTCCTTCCAGTCTGTGTTTCACGTCCAAATTTACAAAAAATCCTGAAGCTTATCAGACGCCCTGATGTTGACTCTCACTAAACTGTGTGACCTAATATGCAGATATAAAACACTCACAGCCTTTGGAGTGACATCAGTTCAGATTCACATGATTAAAGACAGAACAGTCTGCATGTGTGACCTCATGCTTCTGAAATTAGCGCTGTGCTGCAAACTGAAAACAAGTGCGGTACAAATTGTGATGCTGTCATTGTTTTTTTAAAAGGTTCCCTTCCAAACAACTGCAGTCAGCCTGCATTCCCATACAGTTACCTAAAGTGTTTCTCAGGTGCCTCAGTAAACACCATGTGCTGGGTTTTGTTTGTAA